AGTTTATTTTTAGCATGTTTTATATTAAAAAGTTTGTGAATTTTTTATTCCCTCCCACCATCCCTTCAAAAACACTGTTGATGGTTCTTTAAACTTATATTTCAAAATAGTATATAGTTTAAAACAATTGAAAGAATCCTAGCTGATTTTTTATTGTTGGGACGCCTTTATTGATCATTCTGACTTGAGGCTGTGAAAAATATAAAAAATTTCAAGCATGTCCAATACTCAGAAGAGCCCTACGAGCTCACTTGCTGTGATGTTTTCTAGTTGTTATTGAAGGAGAGTAACAGAAAATATAGTATGAATCTGATCACAAAACAACATTTAATAACTTTTATGGAAAGGAATAAAATAAATTACATCCACAGATTGCAAGGCTATGAAATAAATTGCTGGAAATTTATCAAGCATCAAGTTAAAAAGATGGTAGATGAAATAAATCTGATAAAACCTAGAGCTAAATCTAAATACTTCTAAGAAATATGACTGCCAGATTTAACAGTGGATTTTGTTGTTGTAAGTTTGTGCTATAACAAATGTGCTTCTTTCTCCTTGATCTATTTTCATATTATTGGCAAAATATATACTTTGTATAATTTTGTACTGTACATATATATTTTTGCTACATTATTTTTCTACTGCTAATGCAGATTAGAAATAACAACATAGGTTTATTTTGGCAATAAAATGCTTTCCTTTTAATAACATCCCAGAAAATACTGTAAGGCATATGAAAAATAGTATGCAATAATATAGCATCAGTGATCCCGCATCTTTAATACATCCCTTTATGCATACAGAGTTCACACTGATTTCAGTTAAAAATGTGTGAAAGTGGCATGCAGTAGGGCGAGAGAAGCCCCTACGTAAATAGAGACGTAGCCATTTGTAGAGAAATTTAAGTGTTCAAAACATAACTGAGAACACTTACAAAGTGTTGAAATCTAGAGGCCAGTCATTTTTGGTTCTTAGAGGGTTCTCATTTTAACTCCTTATAATATTCAAATGAGGAAGAATCAATGAATTCCCCAAACCACTTTAAGTTCATTGGTAATATTTTCTACCATATTTCTGCAGACATTTTAAATCCATCAAAAGAAATCAAGTTTCATATGTGATGTGACTCCTCATCCCACTGCTGTTCACTTTTATTTACGTTTTTTCATGGCAAGTAGAAGTTACAGCCCTTACTAAAAATTATCCGATGAGATACTTTCTCATCATCTCCTAATATCCCTCAGTTACATGAAGTATTTGGGATTAACTAGATAGACATGGTTGCTATCAGAGGATGGATTTCACTTAAGACAGACTATTTTCATAAAAGCTCTAAAAAGTAATTTTTGAATGCTGTAGTTCTGTCCATATCAACCAGTTTTATTGTTTTGACTAACTTGATTGCTTAAATCAACAAGAAAAAAAAGTTAACCTTATTGTCTGACAGCTGTTGTATTTAGTTTTGATCATCACTATCATTTAAAAGGGGAGTACTTTTCTCTGTGTCTTGGACACAGCCTCAATAAGTAAGTTAGTGGCAGTTATGGTATGGACAGTATTTAAAGGTATGAGGAACTAATGAAATGGATTTTGATATATAATTTCCTATAAAGTTTGTATTCATGTAGTCATTCAAGGATGAGATTCATATAATGAAAATTATAAACCAACATGAAGCATTGTCATAGACAAAGGCAGAAATAGGAAAGGAATAAGGGATACATAAGCATTTATTGGAAACAATGACAGAAGTTTGTTCCAATTACATGGGAGTCCACAATAATGCATAGCCTTACCCAGTAAATGGCTAAGTCATGCTGTGGGTGTCCACGGGAGAAGTCAAGGACAACAAAATTTGAATCTGTAAACCAGCTGCGTTTTTACAAGTCTCTGGACCTACTCTGTTTTGGACTTAGAGCTATAAATTCTAACAAGCTACATGGAAAGGCAATTCCTTTGCAGTTTGTTTTGTTCCCTGTGATAACTTATTTGTTGAATTGATCTTGCTTTATGATAAACGGTGAACCAATTCAAAGAAAACTTCACCAGCGTGGAAGAAATGAAAGGAAGACAACATTTTGGAAAGAGATTATAATCTAAAGGGAAGGCATATTTGAACACTTTATGCAATTAGCTTTGCAGCAGGGTCAGCAGTAATAGTAATAAATTTCATTACTACTTATTGACAAGAGTTTTCCCTTTAAAGACAGATTGTCTTTTCTAGAGAAGAGGTAGTGTAAGTGTCAATATATAGGGCAACTTCTATAGTATTAGAATTTTTTTTAGCAAATATGAAAATAAACTTATATAACTAAGAAAATACACTAACATGCAAATTAAGATTGCCTAGAACATTCTTAAGTGACATCCTGGGTCTCAATATCATTTTGTGATATGTTCACTTAAAGAGTCAAATTTGCAAACCATCTTTTGGCATAATTTCCTTAGCTCACTCTCTTTCACTGCCCCCACTTCCTGTTGTGAATTTTAAGGCCCCCACACAAAAGACAAGTTCAAGTATGCAGGTATGAAAAGAAGTTAACATTCCAAAAATACATTTTGCAAACAACAATAATAATAAATAACAAATGAAAGGAAAAATAATTGTCTTGGAATTTGTTTCACATTTTTAAAAATTCATTTCATTAAGGACTGAATGCAGTGACTTGTATAGTTACAAAATTAAGACTCTTATTAAGAAAGAACATCATTCTAAATTAACAATTTCAACCTTCTTTCCAATAGAACTGTTTAAAGATAAGAGCAAATCATCAGTCACTTATAAGCACTGCTAAGTGTTGCTTTAAATATTGGTGTAAACAAGACACATTGTTTATTGTAATATTGGAGTCACATTATAGCCTTTAGAAGTAACATCATGATCGACAAATTCTTCCTTTTTCTAGGACTAGGTTTTACATTGGCATGTGAGTATACATGGTTAAATGTCTGCTCATTGGAATTACAGAATTCTGTGTGGTTTATACTACAAGTTAAAACAGCCTCAAAACGTTTTATGACTTGTTTCTTCCGCTTATAATCATTTGCTATTTAAAAAGAATTAAAAAAATATTTGTAGAATGCATACTTTCCAAAGGTACTTGGTATGCTTGGCGAAAATAAAACTTTCCATTTAATATATATCTGGATTTCACTACCATTTACACAATAAACTCTAAGGCTTAAAAAAAGGAAGATGTATATTTCTTACTCAGTCGGAGAAGATAAACTTATTACAGAATGGAGGGGAAAGAATATGCCAAATTAAAGTAAAATTTTAAACATATTCATCAAGAAAATATACATTATACCCTTTCCAAGATTATTAGCTTTTGAATAAGAATGCAAAGCAAAACAAGTATGGACACTCGATGGTAAGTGATAGGTCGGTTTTGTGCACAGATACTGAATGGGCCTCTGTCTTTACCAGCATGGCATGGAAGACTAGAAACAAGGCTTTGAGAGGCCTTTCGAAATAAGTGACTTTTTTAAAAAAAGTTGAAAGAAGTTGGTAATCTTGTTAACTAGGAAATATATGTAAATGCTGTTATAGCTACCTGCCATAAAATGTATATATCGTAAAGTATTTAAATGACCAAATTGCTAATGCTACTACAGAAAAAGCTGAACAGCTGTCTAGCCTAAATTTATACACCTTGGTGCACTCTTTGCAATTAAATACTTTAATGCACACAAACAAGAAACCAGTAAAGCATATAGAAAAATGTTTTGGCTAATGTTTTCTTTCTCATGCAAATATGTGCTATACATGTAATAAATATATTTTTGTTTGCTGGAAAATGCTCTTCTGTGTTCTAACAAAGTATTTAGTAATGGCAGGTTATATGTTTGTTTAAGTGTCTAATGGATACAGCTCTTTTAAATGTCTTAACTAAAAGTTCTGTTAGCTTCACTAGGTGACAAAAGAACCTCACAAGCCAGGTATCACATGTTAACTTTTAAAATTTACTGAGCCCATGTTTTGTAATTATATCAAATGTTTGAGATGTCTTACAGAATTATAGGCATCCTCATTATTAGCTAAACAGGTTCATGATGGGGTACACATGGTGAACACGAGGGGCAGGCACGTAGAGAGGTCATAAGGGGATTCAAGATATGGATAACTAACTAAAGAACATGGAACCAATCTTCATGGTCAGGGAAATTATTGAACTGGTGCATGCTTTGAGAGCCTAAGTATTGAAAGGCTTGGATGATAAAAATTATTTTTTGTTTTCAAAGTAGGCTCCAAGACATGTACCAGTAAAAACCAACTTTATGCTGGGTCCTACTGGGGTTTTAGAGAATGCATGCATGTAGAGACATTTATGTATTGTATAAAAGGGTCAATTGAAATCATTTCTTAAATCATAGTGAATCTAAGGCTTCCTTTGGAGACACAGGTCATCAATTCCATAATTAGAGCCATTGGGAAAACTGTGAAGACTTAGTAGGGGAAGACTCTCTAATGTTCATTAGAAATAAGGCAAATCAGTCTCCAAATTCTTTATAATCCTCTGCATTAAAATCTGTGATTTTATTAAACAAATATATTCTGAATCTATAAGTTTACTTTTTAATGCAAGATTTTCAATTGATCACTTGTTTTAATGTCTTTTAATTGGCCATTTTGTGAGAAGACAACTTTCAATATCAAAGTTACCTCCGGTAAAACAAAAGTCCTTCACATGATTTAAAGAATTTGGTGAAGGCCTAGCACATTCAGATAATCAAGACAGACACTGCAGGAAGCCATAGAAAGACACTCAATTGTGTTGGCGGGAAAGACTGACCCCATGTTTGTGTTAGGTGGGACAGATGACTTTCCACCTGGAGATGCTAGCTTTGCACTCAGGAGCGCATGGACCACATCCTTGCTCTCTGACTGCAGATTCCTGGATGCATGTAATTGTGCTTAGATTGATTAAAGGGGAAACAACACCCCATTTTCCATTTCATACAGAAAGCAATGCTTGGGCTTTTCTTTAGTATTCTCTCTCACTTAATCCTGACTAAATTTTTAAGTTTTTTTTTTTTTTTTTTTTTGCCAACTTCAAATGTGCTAACAGTACTGACTAAACAAAAAAGCAAAACACTCTGAATACAACAGCTGTGCCAGGAGAGAAATAAAAATATTAAAATCTGAGGAGACTACAATATATAATTTCTGCATTAAGATTTCTGAGATTTTTTTGGCACTATCAATACATTTGGTAGGTAAGTTTGAAAAGCCATCTGGCAACATTAACGTGTTAAAATGTTTATACATTCCAACATTAAGAATAATTTAGCTTCCAGCAAATAAATATCATACCTGGTTTTGGCTTCTATTGGCATTTTGATTTTTTTATTAATTATCCTTTTTTTTCAGATTTTTCAACTGATTGCAACATGCTCAAGTAGACTTTCTAGTCAATTCACCCAAATTCCAACAGGAATTGGTTTATAAATTGGTTCCAACTGGAACTGGTCATTTGGAATTTCCAGCATGGGAAATTATTATTTTATATGTGCCTTGATAAGTACCCTAAATTACAAATTGATGTGTCTAAATCTATGAAGAAAACAAAAGGTACTGTTATCATGTAAATGTTTCACTTAAAAATATCTATATGACTGGGCATCTAATATCCGTCTAGCATTAAGGGCATAATGTACATTTTGTTTGTTTGTTTTTGCCCCTTACTTAGCATCAAATGACAACAGCCCATAAGCACAGCAGTTCTGTGCTGGCTTGCCAAGGTAAGATGATTGAGTTATCCTAGCAGTGCTATGGCAGACTGTCAACAGATGAGTATGTTTTAGTTTCAGCAGACTCAGAGCCTGTGTCGAGAGTCATGGCTATATCCCCCAGGTGATCCTCGGTTCCGATGGGGTTTGTAAGCGTCCTGGTAGGAGTCGGGGTAATCTTCTTCCACAAGAGGGTAATGATCTCGGCTATGCTGGGAACTGGAAGACAATCGGTTCCTACTCTTCCGAGCCCTTTCATTGTGATAATTTTCATCAGAGGTCATTAGACTTCGTCTTTCAACCGGAGAGTTCTCTGTGGAGTGGTTGCTGTGCCTCATTCGCTGACTCTGGGAATATCAGATAGTTCATCGATTAACATCTGCTTCATCCATCTAAACATGTTAGTGTACGTACAGTAAGATCTGTACAATAAGATGCGAAATATCTGCTTTAATGGTGCATAAACGTCTGTTCAAAACACTGGCCTTATTTATTTGAGACACAGCGTGCAAAGATGCCAGAATATTGACGGTTTATGAATTTAATTACACAGTGCTGTTTGGGTCTACTTCTTACTAAATACGCAGAATTGAAAGTTAGCTATTGAATGGGACTTACTATATTTAGGAAGGCTTAATAATTCCACTTCTATTGCAAAGATGAGGATTATTTTACTGCTGGGAAGGAAGGTTCAGAATAGCACATATTATTTTATTCCTCACTTGAACTCAAAGAATTTTTCTTCTCCCAAAACTACATACTTTATTTTGATCTGGCTGAATGCTCCTTATATCGTTTAAAGATATTTTAATGAAATCGTTAATTGTGTCAACCATAAAGCGATGCATTTGTTTCTGCATCCTACATCAATGTGAGATTCCCAGCAATATTCTTGCCAAAGGAGCCTGCAGTGGCTATGAAGCCAGCTACCTGATGAGCCTATAAATCTCACTTCACCTGCACTGTCCTGCAAAAATAGTCTTCAGATAAAAACTAAATTCCCCAGATACCATGAACTGAAATCAGTATCTAAAGACATTTATTTGATGACTCAAGAAATGTTACTCAACACTTTCCTCACCGTGGGAAGACACGTATCTACACGTGACCTCCAGCTTAGGGAGTCACCTCACTTAAGGAACAGGATCTGGATGAAACACGGGCCCAGATACATCTCCAAACTGCGTTCAGCCTTACACAGAAGGAAACTCATTGGATGGATCACAGACCATGGCCTTAGCCTCAGCCAGGTTTCTAAACAACTGAGTGCTTATGGTTACCAGGAGAAAGAGGCCACAGGATAAAGGGCACCGCATTGACTCATGAGGGAAACTGGGAGAACCACTCCAGGTGGATGACTTAGGGAGGATGAGTCAACGTTTGTTGCATTCATATACAAAGTGCAGCATTGCATTTCTACCGATGTTACGAAAGCTTATTGCTTCACACATCCAATTCTCATCCCACAATGTACAGCTCAGAGCCAACCCTAATTAGTCAATCGAAATGTTATGCTCAGATTAGCATACAGGAACAGAAACAAGGCAAAAAATATTCCTGTACATATATACTATACATCACAATAATCCATCCCCCATGTTCATTTCCAGCTTCGAAGGCTAATCATTTATAAGGAATCTTTCCTGCTTACAAAGATGCAATTTTGTAGAGGAGTAATATGGTTATAATAGCATTTCAGAGAATGCCATTTATCTCAGAGTTAACTCTACATGATCTACAATTATGACGATCATTATAACCCATTAAAACAAAACTAGTCATGATGTAAGAGAGCTCGACTGACTACATGTCCTCAGTCAGCTGGGGGTTTGGACACATTCCAGCAGTGGCTTGATAAACAGTAAATAGTAATTTAATGTAGAAAGGCAAGATTCACTCTATCGTACTGCCTCTGGCTCCCGACATCTCATTCTCAGCAAAGGACACTCACCATAGCCATTGCCCAAGGTGGGTCCCTGCTCATTCCCAATAAAACTCAAGGCTCTATCCCTCTTTGCAAACAGAGTGACTCCACTCCTGTTCACATTCTGTGCTGTGCCAAGTACATGAGATGGTAGGTCCAGGCAGAAATAGTGTAGGGCAATCAAAAGGCCGGTGTGCCCCCAAAATATCTTATTAACCAGCCACAATGCCCAAGCCTTCCACACACAAATCTCCACAAGAAGTGCCAGGTAGAAATAATGGACAGCTGCACAGGGTACACAGTAAGTTTCCTGGCAGAGTTTAGACACAGGCAAGATTAATTTACCTAATTATAAATTCACAGACAGCAAATTATAAATTCATAGACAGGTAAACTATAAACTCACAGACAGCAAAATTCCTAGGAAAGGAGCAACTCTTTGGGTAGCACTCTTTGCAATAGCTCATGACTGCGTAGCATGTTAGAATTTTTATATAACGTGCACATATGGTTCCCTCCAACACAGTCTCCTAATCAAGTTCACTGTAGAATCTTAACAGTGAGGTTGTAAAAGCACAAGCAAAATGTGGCAGCACCTGTAACCCAGAAATTGCAGTGGGGTACGGTGAGAGTGCTGTGGAGCCCAAATTCCTCCCCAGCAACGGGGTCATGGGGGTGCTGCTGGTCGTGTGGGTGGCACGCCAGTACGCCTCGAGGTACTCTCCCAGGTGTTCACACGCATCCTCTAGCTGATTTTCATCCAATATAACATCAAACATTTCCTGAGGGTGACAAGAACATACGTCTTATTCCACTTTGAGTTTCAGGCAATGGAATACAGAAATCCACATAAGGCAGAATAACAGCATTTCTAATATCTAGCAGTTAGTATCAAACTTGCGGGGCTAATTTCAAAGTGAAAAGTTGTACATTTATCCATGTTCAAATATGGTCACTTACATAAACGGAGAATCTCATTAAATATTTGGATTTTTCATTATTATTATTTTTTCTTGACAGGCAGAGTGGACAGTGAGAGAGAGAGAGACAGAAGGAAAGGTCTTCCTTTTCTGTTGGTTCACCCTCCAATGGCCGCCGCGGCTGGGCGCACTGTGGCCGGCGCACCACATTGATCTGAAGCCAGGAGCCAGGTACTTCTCCTGGTCTCCCATGCGGGTGCAGGGCCCAAGTACTTGGGCCATCCTCCACTGCACTCCCGGGCCACAGCAGAGAGCTGGCCTGGAAGAGGGGCAACCGGGACAGAATCCAGCGCCCCGACCAGGACAGGCCTATTGAGCCGCGGCGCCGGCCTGGATTTTTCATTATTTAAAAAGATAAAGATGAGGTAAATATAGGCAAAATATGTTAAAAATACATATGTATTCATATCTTTCTTGATATAATCCTGTACAGCTGAATTGTACTCATCTACAAATATGAGAGAAACAAGTTAACAGCACTAAAAAAGGAGTTATAAACGTGTTTGGGGACCAGTGCAGTGCTGTAGTAGGTTTAGCATCTGCCTGCAGTGCTGGCATCCCATATGGGTACTGGTTCGAGTCGTGACTGCTCCAGTTCCATTCCAGTTCCCGGCTGATGGCCTGGGAAAGCAGTAGAAGATGTCTCAAGTGCTTGGGCCCTGCATCTGTGTGGGAGACTTGGAAGAAGCTCCTGGCTCCTGGCTTCAGATCAGCCCAGCTCCAGCTGTTGTGGCCATTTAGGGAGTGAACCAGTGGATGGAAGAGCTCTCTCTTTCTGTCTCTCCCTCTCTCTGTCTATAACTCTGCCTCTCAAGTTAATAAATAAATCTTTAAAAAAAAAAAAGACCCTATCATTGAAATAAACATTTCCTCTCCCAACGTTAACTATGTCAAAGGGTAATACATTTACTTAAACAATTTTTAGCACCCATGTGTGTGGAAAAGGACTTTGCTACCCAGGGTGCATGTTAGCAGGAAGCTGGAATCAGAAGCAGATGTGACTTGAGCCTAAGCATTCTGACGTGGTGTCCCAGGCAGCCTCTCAACGGCTACATCAAATACCCTCCCTTTTATTGAAAAATTTGACTCTAAATCGCAAATCAGTTTGAAGGTATTTGGAGTAGGATCAGGAAAAAAATGACTTCAGTCTAAACTGACTCAGGTGGGAGAAGACTCAGCTGATGCACCTGGAAAATAGAAAGATGCCTCCCTCAAGAATATTTATTAGATTTCACATGTTTTTTTTTTATATATATTTTATTGATTCATAAAATACTGACTCACTACCAATGTAGTGCTAAGCACCATGGGGGTACAGTGGTCCAAAGGGTATGCAGTGGTTAAGAAAACAGACATCATTCTAGGCTCAAGAAGCCTGCAGCCTGTGGGGAGGTAGCATTAAAATCTAGACCAACCCATGTCACACTGAGACCTTCGTTCAGAACAATGGTGGCAGTGAGCAGTCCCGGTAATGTCAGGGGCTGAGGCCTACAGTTCTACATTTAGAAAGAGGCCTGGGAGACACGTGAAACCTGAGCTTATGAGGAAAGGGAAGTTATGAGTAAGTCAAGGAGGGAAGAGAAGAAAACAGATAAAGAGAAGCAGAGTCACAAAGAAAGATAGTGACCCTGTGGCCAGTGAGAGATGGGGCAAATCATTAGCTCCTAAAGGGTCAGTCAACGCATCTCCTTAACAATCAATACCGGTTTTCCACTACAGTAGCCCAAGAGAGTTTCTTGTCTCCTACAGTCAAAAGCCTCCCTTCTTAGTTACCATAAGTTGTCAAGAGTTACAAATACAGAATCTGAGAATTGTCCAAATGTTCTGATAGTGGCATTGCAGCGCTGACTCCAGAGGGACAACAGGCCAAAGAAAGGAGACGGCAACACTGGCAGATAGGACCCCTCCTGCAACCATTCCAGGCTCGTGGTTTTCAGAAATTCTAGGCTCTATGTGATTTGGAGTCCAATTACTTAAAAAAATTTTTTTGGAAGGCAGAGCTACAGAGAGAGAGGAAGTGAGAGAAAAAGAGTGTCAACTCTTCTACCCATGTCCCCAAATGCCTGCAACAGCCAGGCCTGGGCTAGGCTGAAAGCAGGAGCCCAGAACTCCACCCAGGTCTCCCATGTGGGTGGTGGGGACCCATCTACTTTAGCCGTCTCTTGGTTCCTCCCAGGGTGTGCATTAGTAGGACTCTGGATAGGAAGCAGAGCAGTTGGGACTTAAACCAGGCACTCTCATATGGGATGTGGGCGTCCTAAACAGCGTCTCAACCACTGTGTCTCAATGCCTGTGCCTGTTTTTACCACTCCATCTGTGTTCATAGCAATCATTGGTAAATAGGTCTCATTCTATAAAGTGAATTTAGTCTCAACAAATCATTTTCTTGCTTTCATCAAGTCCCCAGTTAGAAAATCCTCCAAGTCTAGCTGGCTGGCTGGAT